AGGAGTCTGAAGTGATCCCCTGCCTCACGGACTGAATGTAAGTTGATTGCGCGAAGTCGAGAAGTGCCACTTTTGGTTCTCTCTTCACCACTTACAATTTACGAGACCGCTGGTGCTGAGAGTCAACATATCATGCACTGGTCACGTATCCATTGGTCCAACATGGGTCACAGGACTTGAACGCCTTCTAATCGTCCAAAACTCGCTTCGTTTAGGTGACACCGTGACACTGTGACAGTCCTGTTCGACCTCGCTCGGGCCTAGGTGACCTCGCTTCGGCAGATGAGCTGGGGGCCTCTTGGAATGCCTCGGGCTTTCGGCCACTTGGCTCGAAGGTTTTCTCCTTTCTTGCTGAACAAGTTTTCAGTTTGTCTATTATTTATAATTTTCATCTCTCTCTATTTTTATACGGGGGTAGGCCGCTAAGAGGTTTTATAACTTTATAGTAATAGGTGCAATTTAATCAGGCTACTAGCTAGTATAGCAGCTATTAGGTACCAAGCACGCTCCTAGTAACCGGACGCAGGATAGCTCGCACTAATCATTTTGGTTCCTGATTTTCTAGGGAAACTTACGCTTGTCTTGCACCGATTTCTTTCAATGCCAATTGGAGCAGCGCAGCGCAGCGAGAACAGATTCGCCCTTGCCTTTTGGTTTACTGTATTCCGAGGTCTTGGATATTCGACTCTCAGCACAATGGAGCTTCTCCACTTGCCAAGGATGTGCTAATGAAAGAAGAACGTTTCGCAACAACTAATTAGATAGCGTACAGATGCGTACAGTGTACACAAGCCTCTTATCTTTCGGGGGTGGGGTGAGAATCCCCGTGGTTGATCTCAGACCGTAGCCCTGGCTGGGAACTTGCCTTTGAGTTGGAATGACTTGGAAACACAATGAATGACCATGACATAGAAATACATAGAATACCATAGAATACATGGGGTCATGCCAAGATACCTGAACATACTGCAGATCACACCATGAAGGGACGACTTGAGAACATTCCCAGGGTAATGGTGGCTATTTGGTCACATCCCAGACCAGACCACCAAAAGGTTGTTCGACCGGGTTTCTCTTTGCAAAAGCTCGGGCAAAGTTGGAAGTTTCGATACTGTGGACATGGATAACCCTTCCCCCTGAACATCAAGCAAAGTTCACGAGTAGTCAAAACCTTGTCAATCCTCTGGATACTTGAACACCCTGAAGATCCCCCTGGCAACTGATCTAAGTTAAACTCTTCAGTATTCTTAATCTCGTTGTGCTCATGGGTCAACATATTCGAGCACGTCTGCTGCATCTGAGTGCCCAGGAAACTTCGAAGGCCACTTGGGTGGGCAAGAAGGAGTGAGATTGACAGGGTATAGGCCAATCGTATCCAATCGTTTAGCAGCTTGGCATTCGGCAATAAGATGAATAGTTTCAGACGGAATGAGTTTACATGAACATATTGCTTGCTAACAGGTTTGATGTGGGATTTGTTTGCTGAGCTCAGATCTGCTCCAAGTTGGATCTGGGTATTGACCACAGTCCTGGACTTCACAACCCTTCAAGTAGCAGCAAGGAGTTTTGATTCCTTTTTAATCCTTTTTGACTTCTTTCTTCTCCGCCCCTCCACCTTTCGCCAGGCGGGTGAGGAGAGTGGCTGGCTGGTCTTCTGCCGTGGCGGCTTGCTGCACACTGACCGTGGGCCTGGCTGTTGGTCCCTCGTTGACGAGGTGCCGGCACATTGATTGAACAGGGGATATCACGGGCAAGCAGGTATATACATAGGCAAGCAGGGTTGACATAGATTGACGCAAGACACAAGATCCAAAGGCGCAGATAGGTTAGCAGGCCATCGGGTATATAGGTGCCAGCAATGGACGTCATGGATTTGATGCGAAGTAGTGCCACAGGCTGCAACACAGCAAGCGCAACACCATACAAACCACAGAACAGTCTGATTGAATACACAACCGAACTTTTCCTTTCTTCTTTGTAATAAAGAAAGCCAGCCGAAGGTTAGGCTGAAGGTCTGCATGGCGAAATGGCGAAGGAAGTGAGTTTATGGGGTGTGGGGGTTGTTGCGTGTGGGGTGAACCCAGTTCCTGCTGGGGAGAGAAAAAAAGGGGTGGGCCAAGTGTTCTTAAAACCGATTGGATGATGCGCGTGATGCCAGACTAAGTTATTTTGCATTTTTTGCATCAATTCCTGGCCCTCACTAGAAACCATAAAGACCGTAATTTTCAGCTGAGGGGTCTTGTACACGTAGCAATGTGTTAAGGGGGGAAGTGTGTAGACAAGCAGTAAAAGTAATCGCAAACGAATCAGTCGGGAGGGTGAGGGTGTGTGTATGAGCCCAGATGCTGCTGTGCGAGAGCCAAGTCAGCAAAACGTAAAGCGTTGTGTTTTTTTTGTATGGTCAAGTGGCTAGGGGGGATGCGCCCAGAGCCTGCTGGGGGAAATCGAAATGCATTGCAAAGAGCGGTGTTTCTTGCTTGGCAGGCAGATGCAGGCAGCTAGGTAAGGGGGAATGAACCCAGCGGCTGCGGAGAGCCAAGTGAGCGACCGCATACCGACCTAGCAGGGGGCTGGCTTTAGTCCCCTCACTTTGAAGATCCATGCAGACCCTAGTAGCGTCCTTGCTCCTAGTAGCGATGCCAGGAGCCCCCAGTGGCGTCCTTGCTCCTAGTAGCGATGCCAGGAGCCCCTAGTAGCGTCCTTGCTCCTAGTAGTAAGGCCAGGAGCCCCTAGTAGCCCCCAGTGGCGTCCTTGCTCCTAGTAGCGATGCCAGGAGCCATTCAAAGCAGAAACGTTTGAAGCACGATTTGGAAGCACCACACATGACACATGTATCAATCCTGAGGTCATTTCTGTATTTATGTATATACTGAGCACATCTGCCAGGAACTGATGGATGTAGAGTTTGGTGGCTTCAAGCTGCGGCTTCAGTTCATTTTGAAGTGGGAAGGCACGGGCAAGCGACTCGCGTTTTGAACGATGTCATCACACTCTGGAATTTGCATCGCGCGCTTGATTTGCATATAGTTCCGTACCGGAACTTTTTGCTTCTAATGATGACATTTACTTCCCTTACCGTCCCATCTCCCAAGCTGCTGACACACTCAACCGGCACTTCCAGAAAACATATCATGTAGCCAACCCGCAGAAGATGCCAACCTCGTGATTTTAGAAAGACATTGGAAGATTATGCAACGGCACTGCACTGTTTATTTGCGAAAAATGAGGGTGTCAAAGACCTAGCCAAAGCCTTTGTGCAGGCAAGAAGCGCCCCAATTTCACGTCCATATCAGCTCCTTGGCAGATGAGTCACTTCGTCGATTGAAATCTCTGGGTGTTGGGTGTATATGGACCGGTGCAGACTTTGAACTACCTGTAAGACGACTTTGGCGACCAGGCAAAATTGGGTTGCACTTGACAACTGAGTTTTGCAGATGTCCTTTCATTGTGGGGATGGCTGGCAGCCCTGTTGTGAATGCATGGTGCAATCTTTTGTTTTTCGGGAGTTGGACTCGAAGTCTCCTGCAGTTGTTCTTGACAATTGCCAAACACAATTCTGCCTTGTAGCCATCCTGCAAAACAAGAAAAGGCCTATTCAGAGGTCACTCCAAACCAGAGTATTCTTCCCTTCATCCAACATGACTGTGTAGGAAAAGTCGCCGAAGCGCCCATTTGTCCTGTGTGCAGGGCGGGCGACGGAGCTTTGTTGGTTGGGTCCAGAAGTCCAAGCAGTACAAGTGGGTTGATGCGACAGAAGTCCCGCTCGAGACTCGTGACGGAATAGAGTCCCACCCGAGGGGACTGGAGGAGACCTGAACATGGGGAAGCCAAGACCAGAGTCTTTGCAGGGCCTGTTGGAAATCATTTCACGGCTGTCAGAGATAAATTGATAGGCCCCTATGTTTTCCTTTTCCACAGAGCAGAGCAGCGCGATGCGTTTTCTCACCCTTGATTTTGGCGAGAGGTGAGATCCTTATGCTTTGGCAGGAGTAAGTTTACTTGGCCAATCTTTTGACCGAAGACTGCCAAGAGTTTGGTAGAGACTAAGTGAGATACAAGAAGGTTCTTGAGAGAATGTTCTTACATCTACGCTCATTTCTTACTTGCAGCTTCCATTGTGATGATTTTCTGCTTGATTTGCATGCTTGTCTCCAACTGCACAGATTACTTTTTGATATCACAAAAACAGCCAAACACAACAGTGTTGCTTGAAGGGTCGTATTTCAATGTTCAGTTCCTCCAACATAAAAGCTTTTGGAGCTCTTGATTTGTGATCAAGCTCCGTTTGCGACCTCGTTCTGTACATACCTGCTTCCAGGGAATTGTGGGAAATCATCTTTTTTTTTTCCCGCAGGTCGATTTCTTCAAGTGAAACTGGTTTTGGAAGGGCCTGAATTCTGGCCGAAGCCTTTCAAAACCACTTCCATGAGAAGTCACAGAAGGAAAGAATGTCAAAAGCGAAAGATGCTTAGCAGCTTAGCATGGACGAGAAGCGAATTTCCTTGCAACATCTAAAGAGGGTGTGAAACAATGTCAAACAATCATGTGCGCATGTCAAAAGGTGGAGGGATTGCAAAAGGTTGAACGGTTACATAGAGCGACCTGAATAATTGCCCGAGACTGTTTGATTGGAGTGTGCATTCGGACAATTTCCTATCATCATTCTCAGTTTCTTGATCATTCGATATATAATTCTTATCATCGTTTCTCAAAGGTTCTCAAAATGGTTCACAGGACCATTAATCAGTAACAGGTGCATCGCTACTAGCAACAGGTGCATCGCTAGTAGTAACAAGTGCCTTACCAGTAGAAACAAGAAGAATTTATTGAATCATTAATCAGTATCTAGGAACAAGTGCATCGCTACTAGTAACAAGTGCCTTACTAGTAGTAACAAGAAGCTATTAGAAACAATAAGTTGCTAGGAACAAGTGAATTATCATGCTTTAATATGCAGTTCGACTCATCGGAGCTACACCACGTACACGAGCTGATGCTAGGCAGAAGCGCGACTTCCAAAGGTGTGCTTGGGATGACTTGGTATGGGGCTGACGCAAGAGACCAATCGATTCATGTGGATTCTTTTCTGTTGAAGGGTCTAAAACCTGAGCTCTCACTGACCATTCTCGAAACCAAACAACTTCTACTGGCTTGCCTTGATACTGAAAAAGTGACGTGAACCATTCATATTCACTTAGAGTGTTCATGAGTTTTCAGAGTTTGGCAAATGCGAGTGCAAAATAACCTGTCTTCGCTGCAAGGGAGATGTACGTGTGGAGGAAGAATGGCCTTTACGCCTGGAAGAAGTCACTGTCCTAGGGTTCTTCGGGATTTCGGGGCCGGGCCAGGCATTGAACAAACACAAGCAGTTGGCCTTTCTGTCGCCCTTTTGTTCGAATTCGTTTTGCTGTTCCAAAACAAACAAGCGCAGCTGAAGCAGACACTACTACCCGATTACCCGATTGTCAACTGGGCTTCATTCTGTGGAGCTAAGAACCATGCTAGGCTAGGAAGGCACTTGAAGCCTAACAACCTTGTTTAATGCTTCCAGTTTTCAACCCTTTCATCGTCCTCCTCCCAGGCCCAGGCAGAAAGCCGCTCTCTGAGAGATCACCTTCGCCAACAGGAGGAGACTTTCTCAATCTGATGTCACTGACAACAAGACATCGTAAAACAGGGAATGCTTCAGGATGGGTGGTGAGCATGTCCCCCTGGTTGTTTGGCACAGCCTGATTGGCAAGAGGCAATAGATCAGACGACTTCTTGTGAGAACTGAGACAAAGGTTTCCACCCTTTCAAGACATTTCAAGGCTCGCTCGGCAGAACAAGCCCGTCATGCAGGGAGGCCCAGGCTTATGCAATTGGAGGCACGGTGATAATAGGGCCCTACGTTTTGTGCGTTTTGACCCTCGACACTACATATAACTTGTGATGTTACAGGGGGGGGGGGGGGGGGGGGGGGTGGGGGTGGGATAATGACGTTGATGTTACATGAGGGTTTCTCCGATGTTACATGGGGTTTACATGGGTTTACAGTATGACCTTTTACAGTAGTTGGAGCACCGCCCATAGAGGGCCGTGGTGTTTCGTGTTGTTTTTGCTGTTTTTGAGCGTTTTTCCTGTGATAAGCATGGGTTCTGGAGGGTGGGGTGGGGGGGGGATGGGGCCGGGATAATAACGTCCGTTGTCGATGCAGTATACAGGTTGTGAGTCACGGTCTCTTCCCCGGAAAAGTACTTATATATGATGTTCCATCAATGTTATCTTTTAAATGCATTATGCTTGGCACAGTGTCTTTTCCGTCAAGCGCGTGCGTTGTTTACCGCAGTTTTCCAGGTCTCAGTATGGTGCTTTGTTCCTTTCTTTCTGCGTTGTTTCTTGCTTTCATTTGGTTGGGACACTGGACAGGGGTGGATGAAGTTCCGCACTTGTTGAAAGGGTGGTTTGAGGCGGACCCTTCTACATTGATAGCCTGTTGAAGACCTTTTGTGATGCTTCCACCCCTGATCCTTTTGTGGCTGCCACTCTGGACATTGTATTGCAATCAGATAGATGGCCTCTCAACTTTGATACATTGCATGAGAATTATTTGCTGTTGCTTACAGTTTGGCACTCTTTTTACCAAGAAATGTTACTGCAAGCTCTATGTGCGCTGCAAGAAGTCTGATTGCAGGGCTCGCTTCAATGTCTCTGACTTCTCAGTCTTCATAGGGATTCGGCTAGCTTTGAGAGATCTTCTGTGGCTGATTCACTATGGGAGAGTGAACAAGAGTCGCTTCCCACTCGTAAACGACGCTCAGTCACAACTGCACCTGGGGCGCACACGAATCCAACATGTGTTTGATAGCCTTCGCTATACCAAGACTCTGGCCGGAAAAACCTTTAGCCGCAGCGCTCACAAACTCGCTGGGGCTGTCAAAGGTGATGGTCGTGCTCTTCGCAAGATTTATGTGAGTCAGGGAAATGCGACCTTTGCTTGTCAAGTTGAAGAGGCCACTGCAAGATGGAAAAAGCAGAATGGGTCCAAGCGACTCCCGAAGTACTGGTTGGGCCATGTGCGCATAGCGGGCGGAGCCTCGGCTGTACACGTGGAATTTGCCTCGCCTGTACACGCGCATAGATTTACTCGGTTGTGCACGCGCTCCTCGGCTGTGCACGCTGCTTGCTCGGCTGTGCACGCTGCTTGCTCGGCTGAATGAATGAATGGATGAATGAATGAATGAATGAATGAGTGGATGAATGAGGGACTGAAGGAATATGTGAAAATGAATGAATGAACATCATCAATCAAACGCAGAGCATCTGTGTGACGTGGTACTGTGGAAGCAATGAGCAAAAAGAGATCATTACTCAATTTGTGTGTGCGCAGGTGAGGCGAATCTTGTGTGCGCAGCTGAGTTTGAGGTAACATGGGGTGTTTAAAGAAGAATGTAATCGATGTGTGCGCAGCTGAGGCGAACCCTGTGTGCGCAGGTGAGTTAAATATAAAAAAAAGGCTGTGTGCGCAGGTGAGGCGAATTTTGTGTGCGCAGGTGAGGCGCCATCCCGCATAGCTGCTCTCAAGAAGAGGAATGTGCCGGTGGTTGTGGCTCCTGTGCCGATGAAGTTGCTGCCGCCCGGCTCAGCCCCTGGAGTTGAATCTTCCAAGGCAAGAAGCAGTTGGCAACTTTTCATGTCAGTCGCGACAAACAAGAATTTGCCAAGAAAATCAAGTCTCTGAAACGCCCAGGGTTCGTTGTCTCAGGCACACAATGTGTCGACATATGGTGGCAAAGCTTGGAGAAAGCGGCGCCGAAGTCCTTCAAAGTGAAAGAAACAAAGGGGGGCGGCATCTCGGAGCGCCTGATGAACTACGCTTACGCTTTCGTTTGGCGTGCCAACTCAGATGCAGATGTTGACCTGACGGGAGCGCTCGGGAAGCTCTGAAAAAGGGTTTTGCGGCAACTACTTCGGCCGTCGAAACAAACAACCACGGAAACAGGGTAGAAATGCTGAGATTTGCAGTGTAAAATGCTCTGTCTCCCTAAAGCGCAGGTAATTCACCTACCTTTCAAGCACCAAGGTTTCAGAGCACAGAAAGGGTTCACAAAAACGAACTCGCCAACGATACGTAACTGTAACAACACTGAGGCTCTAATACCAACGTGTGACCATGTTATTAGAAACAATGTTTTTGCAGAAGCTCTGAGGGCACTTCGTTGGAATATGTTTTGCCTTGGTGAAACCTGTGTAAGGTGGCGGGGTTTCTTCAACGTGTCTTTTAATGCCTTGGAGAAATCTGCACATGTGTCATCTCCTCCTGATCATTCATGCTCATTCACGCAGGAAAGTCATACGGAGGCATGCAATAAGAGGTGATTAGTAGGTGAAAGCACGTGAAAGCCTGCCAAAGGTTTTCAGAGGCCCAGAAGAACGCATAACGAATTAAGTGCCCCTTGTTTGACGCCTTAACGCCTTGTCTTGAGAAACTCAGATTGCAGCCTTGGGCTCAGATGTACCTGCTCAAGCTGCGGGGGGCCTTGGGTGTTTGAGTTCCGTGCGTCGCTGCATCGTTCCCTGGGGACAAGGCAGCTAGCTGCTAGCAGCTAGCTCATAGAATGACAAGGCACGAATTCATTGAGTCTTATTGTTATATACATATAGATATATAATGATGTATACATTTGTATATATATATATATTCACATATACCATATATTTGACATGTATGATCACACACATACACATATACATATATAATATTAAAAAAATATTGCACACTGTAATCTGGAAAGACACGAAGTGGCTCCGATAAACGTGGCAATGTTTGGGATGGATGCGTATTGGTGCAGGCATTATCTGACTGGGTTCCCAGCTAAACCCGACTAGACCTGAACCAAAACAAAAGAGAGAAAATACAGTGGGTTGATGTAGGTTGGGGATAGCTGCAGCTGAAAAGAAGGAACAGTGATTGACTGACTGCACTGCTGAGTTCAGGTGCGGCGCCTACAGGGTGAAGTCGCCCTTCTCGAAACCAAAGTGCTAGAGCAACAGGCAAGTGCTATTCGCCCTTGAAACGATCATGAACAATTGCCATGCAACGCTGGAGAGAAATTGCTCCTTGATTGAATGCCCAACGTGTGGACCGTGTGGACCACGAGCTTTGCCCATCAGGCGACGCAAGCTGCAGCAGCCCGAAAGTCTGAGATTGAATTAAGGGCAGACCTGGACGTGAAGAGCCATGAGGTGACTGGGGTGGACACCACTTATGAACAATGGAATGAGTGTCATTTTGGGCAAAGACTTCAGTAGTTCTTTTTTGTTTTTTGCATTTCACAGCTTTCTGGGTCTTTCATCCCACGGATCACTGCGGTGCGAACACCGTAGGCATTTGTTGCACAAGTGTGAAAAGGTGCGGATCTCATTTCCTCAAGGGTTATGAGCCCAAATCCCGCTTTTTAGCGCCTCGCCATGGACCGGGCGAGATCCCTACCACCTGGGCAAGGTGGGCAAGGACCGACTGAGGTTGCGACCAACCCTTTTTGGTCCAAGAGGCTGCAGGATGAGATCATCCTCTGGCAGAAACGCCCTGAGAACCTCCCAATCCCGACGGATGACGAGGACCTGGAGATGGAAACAGTGCAGGACATGGGCACTGGGCATGGCATGGGTAGTGGCCGAGGTGTTTCGACCACTACAGGTGGACGCATGTACGTGACACCACCAAGCCATGGAGATCCAACAGGAAAAGGTCAAGTTGGTTTGAGGAGGTCCGAAGGCGTGTTGCCAGGGGAGGAAACCACTGCACCCTCCAAGACTAGTCGACAAACAATGGGACCCATGCCACCAAAAGGGGTTCCTACAGGGCCGGTGAAGGTCCACAAGGCCTCGGTGAGGGGCGATGAGGAGGACGGAATCCAGCGTGCACTGGAAGCGGAAATGGTCACCTTTCTGCGAGAGCAGAACGAGCAGTTGACCGAAGAACTGGCTCGACTCAGGCGACAGATGACTAAGGTGACTAAGGCCGCTGTTGGACCTACCTCGACGCCTTCCTCATGGGAGACTGTAGATGGCTTGAGCGGTGATGCGCAAGCAAGTATGCTTGGGGGCGAGCAAACTCCAAGGGGGCGAAGTCCTACTACACGAAGGCAGCGAGATGAGCAAGGTGCAAAGTTCACTCCGAACGGCACCAAGGTCCCTCCAGGACCGCCTCCGGATGCTTCGTCGCCGCCTTTTCCCACAAGTGACTCAGCTGAAATTAGTCTCCTGCAGGGCTACGAATGGCTGGAATCCCGTCGACGTGGCCGTGGAGATGATCACTGGCTCCCCGCGAGCTTGCGAGAAGGGAAAACATTCCTGCCTAGGGACACTCGTGCCGAGCGACTTGAGCACGAGGTGAAGGATTTGAAGATGTCGCTTCAGCGGATGCAAGATGGAGCAAGCTGGCAGCCGGCCATGGGCTCCAAAGAAGTACCACCTGCACCTCCACCGGAGATGTTGATGGGGGATGAACTATCTGGTCGACGTGCTCCTGATCCATGTCTATTTGGCCGCGATCTTCATGGGGTTGCAAGTGAAGGTGCTGGCCGAATGAATCCATGGGTTGCGATTCCGGGCAGTCGAGATGGGGGTCCTCCACGAGATGACCTACCTGGTGGAAACTATGGCTGCTGGCGTGGTGCGGACAGTTCGGCTCCCGTTCCACTACCATGGAATGAGGGCACAGCAAATGGTAAAGCAGAGCTGGCTGAGTTAGCGGCAGACGCTTCTCCACTGGAGCTGGGCGATTGGCTGGCGGTCTGTGGCCCCGTCCTTCGGGACATTTCCCAAGTCAGTGCCAGGTGGTGGAATCTGACTTTGAGGGAGGCACAGTGTTTCTATGAGAGGTGGAAGACATCATCACCTCTGGAGCGGGCAGAGCAGAGGGGGGTGAATTTGCTCCTCAGGGCCATTCCGGCCGACCAGCAGCAGGCGCTGATTTCAGCGCGAGAGTTGAATTCCACGGCATTGCTCTTCCGCCTGATGGTGAGGTAGCCTGGTGGCTCGGGGGAGAAAGCCATTTTGCTTTCAAAGTTGACGGCCTTGGACAAGAGCACTACAGTCACGGAGCTTGCAGCTGCTTTGAGGTCGTGGCGACGTCGTTTCGCCAGAGCTGGTGAGATCGATGCAGTGCTTCCTGATGGCACTTTGTTGCTTGCAGCCTTGGAGCCAGCGTGTACGATGATTGCAGCTCAGGACTCCCAAGCTTCGTTTCGCCTGGCACAAAGCAGGTTGCAGTTGGGTATCGATCAACGTCCTCATCACCAAGGTGTTTGGCGGTTCAGCCAATGCTTGCTTGCGGAAGCAGAGACGCTTTCGCTGATGATCAATGCACCCATTGCCTCACCACAACCTTCCATCAAGGTCAAGCAGATGGACGCTCCGGCCAGACCCTCGACAGTTTCGAATGGCCAGTCTGAGAAGGGCAAGGGTGTTTCCACGGTGGCTCAACCCTGCAGATACTTCCGCTCGGACACCGGGTGCAAAGCTGGCAAGAATTGCAAGTGGTCGCATTCATGGGACGGGGTGGAGGACAAGAACGCGAGATGCTGGATCTGCGGGGGCAAAGACCATCGCAAGTCGGATTGCAAAGTGAAGGGTTCGCAATCCAAAGGCTCCAACAAGGACAGCAAGCCCGTTGGTGAACCTGGGGCAGGTTCAGGGGGAGGAAAGGGCCAGACGGCTCTTAATGCTGGTGCGCCCAAATCAACTGGCGCTGGAGCTCCAAGTTCGGCAACCACCTATGCTACGCCCAAGCTTCAGGAGATGGATGCTGGTGAACAAACACCTGCACTGCCGCAAGGTGAAGCTGGAGGTGGAGGAGCAGCGAAGCAAGGAGGTGGTGGGGAGACAGGAGCTACGTCAAGTGAAGTGTTGCTTCAAGAGGCCACAAAGTTGTTGAAGTCGCTCAGAGCACCTCAGTTGCGGGTAATTTAGGTGAGCCAGCTGGACTATGACAACAGCTCCATGATGGTTCTTTTGGACTCAGGTGCAACCCATGCATTGCGGCCTGCAACTGGCATGGAAGAGTGGGAGAGTGCAAACCCCACTCAAGTCTCCTTGGCTGATGGTGTCACCGACAAGCTGAGGTTGAAGCCGAACTCCAAGGTGCTCCTATCGTCACCGCAGGAGGAGGAAGCAAAGCAATCGTGGATTGTCCCCATGGGTGGCATTACGGAGCTGGGCTACAAGTTTGGTTGGAAGGGAGCACGATGCTGGCTGTGCGACGAACAAGGCAAGGAGGTCGCTGTGACCATCAACCAAAATTGCCCCATGGTCTCCAAGGAGGTGGGACGAGAGCTCATCAACAAGTTGGAGATTCGGCAGTTGAAAGTGGCCATGAAGACAATGCTGGTGAACGCATTGATCACGGACCCAACGTCCATGGGAGTGGCCGACATGAAGAATGACATCGAGCTGGCTTTGACGGTGAAGTTGAAAGCATTGTTTCCAGCTCTCCCTGATGAGATCTTGATGAGGGTGATTCCAGAGATGACCTATGTGCAGGACGGCATTGACGGAAGCCGCTTGCCCTGGAATCGAAGAAAACGGCGCAACATCGCCAACGCCAAGCAGGTGGTCGTGCATCTTTTTTCAGGTCCTGACCAACGTTTTTGGGAAAAGAAGTTGTCCGGCAATGGAGTAGAGGTGCTTTGTGTGGACCTCAATGCTCAGGTACCGGCTGATCTCCATGACGACAACGTCTTCCGGTACCTCCTGATGCTGGCAGCTTCGGGTCGAGTCAAGGCCCTGTTGGGCGGTCCGCCCTGTCGAACGGTGTCGGCTTTGCGATACCAAGATGATGGTGGTCCTGGAGTCCTTCGGTCAGAAGAACACCCCTATGGCCTTCCGATGCTGACGGAAGCAGAGCAGGAGTTGGTGGTGGGCGATAGCGTGCTGCTCTTTCGCATGCTGGCCATGTACATGGTATGTGAGGATGTGCGCTTCTCCGACGAGCCCCAGACAGGACTTGCCATCGAACAGCCAGAGGACCCTGCTCGTTACAGACCTCATGCTGAAGTTGAAGAAAAGAAATTCATGTCGATCTGGCGCACTCGTGAATGGCAGGACTTTGCCACGAAGTACCAGATCAAGATGCTCCACTTCGACCAGGGTCCGATGGGCCACACAAAACGCAAGCCGACGACATTGGCAGTTGTGCTCAGGGACATCCAGGTGTTGAATGAAGTTCGTGGACCACCAAGTGGAGTTCACCCTGCCGGTCAAGTCCCTGATCGAAATGACATGACCCTGCAAGCACGGTGCGAAGATTCAAGGTCCTGGTCTGCCTGGGCCCCTAGTTTGAAAGTTGCTTTGGTGTTAGCCATCCAGGATCGTTTGCATCGTGGCACAACCCCTTCGCTGGAAGCTGCTCTTCGTCCGTTGGGTCAGGTGGCTTTAGAGTCGTGGCGGGCTCACTATCTCAATGACCACATGCCGGCCCGGAGAGATTGCAAGCATTGCGTCAAAGCATCAGTGAGGAGTAAGCCACACAAGAGGGTAAGCCATCCAGAGGCATACACCCTGAGCGTTGATCTTTCAGGAAAGATGGTGGCTGGTCATGATCAAAGTCGCCATGAATGCCGGTACATGATGGTGGCAGTGTACACCTTTCCCGTGGACCAGGCTGGAAATCCTTTGGCTGAGCTTCCAAACAGCCGTCCACTTGATGTGCCTGAAAATGCCGATCCGAGTTCCTTCAACGTGGACGCCGATGAGTACACGCCCTCAGAGCCACCAGATGATCCCGGCGATGTCGTGATGTTGGAGGCGGAAGAGGCACGGGGTCTGGGGGAGGAGCTGACGGAGACGGCGAAGGCGGCGGAGGATGAGTGTGGTGGCGGTGTGACGGAGGCTGGGGTTCGGAAGGGCCAAGAAGAATTTGAGGCATGGCGCAAAGCGGTGGAGGAGGAGCAAGAAGTCAAGGTTCGCAACCTGACCTTTGTGGAGGTGCTTCCAGGTCGGGCAGTCACACACATCCTTCCAGCTTTGGCCAGAATCTATGCCCGACTTAGGAGCCTTGGACTCCCGGTGTACCGCATTCACTGCGATCGTGCACGAGAGCTGATTTCAGCGCCGGTGAGAAGATGGACTTTGGATCGTGGCATTGTCACCACCCTGACATCAGGTGACTCTTTCAAGTCCAATGGCCGCGTGGAAGGGGAACTGGGAGTCATCAAGAAGCACGTGCGAACAGTGGTCGCTGC